CATTGACTAGCAGAGAACATAAACTAAAATCAGTATGTTTAGATACTTTCTTAAAGCTAATTTTGTTTTTAAAATAAAATATTTGGTCAAAAAGTATATTGAAATGAAAAGCTTTTGTTGTGTGGAATATCACTGTGTTTTGTCAATTCTTGTCATTTCAGTGCATAAATGAAAATTGATTGTATTATGTATTTCTGTAACAATTGTCTTGTAAACAAATGGAGCTTGCTTTCTCTTTCAAAACAAGCAACCAAGTAAACAAAAATACAAGTCAGTACCTAGTGAACAAGCATATCTACAGCTTTAGTCAGCTCCCTGATAAAATGAAAAATGAATCAGAATTTTGTCAATCGTGGTACGCTCTGTTTTTTTTTTTAACCTATGTTTGGGTAAGTCTATTGTGTTGTGGACATACATCCATGGACAAGTGACCATTCTCTCAGTATTGAAAGGAATTGAATGTCAGCTGTGGAAGGAGATAGAAAGACAATAATGGACCCAAACCCTAGAAACTTTAGGTTGTGGATTATTGTACGTCTTTGTTCTTGTTCCATCATTTCATTGTATTTGTATTTCTCTGGGAGGCAGCATACACTTGTATAATTAAGAAGGACAAGATAGATTCCTTTGTGCTTTCTGCTGTGGTTTTTCAGTTGTGGTTTTAATTATTGGACTGGCAGGGCAAAAGAAGTCTTTTAATTCTGAAGGATTGAAAAGACAATGAGCAATACATGGATGCAAAAAGACTGGGACTGGAGACATTACTCATTGAGGGGAGAACAAATCAGTTCTCAAATATTCATCCAGCAAATTATAAACTCCATCATTAAAAGATATTAAAGAAGTAGCATTTTTTTACCTTACTTCCTATATGGTTAGTTATTTTTGTTTTCTCTATAATAGGCATGATTTATATAAATACCATCTGTCTCTATTAGAGGAAAGAGCATTGTATTGAGAATGAAAATCCTGGGTCTAAACTTGATCTATCGTTAATTAAATAGATAATTTTGGGCAAATTGCTTGTAAACAACCCGGGCCTTAGTTTCCTCTTCTGTCAGCTGAATATGTCATATGACATAATTTCTAAGTTCTTCTCCAGCTCATCTCCGAATCATCTGATGTCTAGTCCACAAACAAATTTCTCCAAGTCCTAAGATATGTTTTTAGAGCTTTTTAAAAAAAATACCAATCCGGCGAAGATTCATACATCGCATTTAATTTTTTTTGTCTCTTTGGACTTCGGAACAGTTCCCAATCTCCTTCTTTCATGCTATTTGCATGATAATTGTAGTATATTCCACATTCGGATTTGTCTAATTGCTTGCTCATACTGAGATTTAACTTCTTTATCTGTTAATAAATAGTTTCTATAATCTAACTTCATTAGGTTCAATATAAGCATTTTTGACAAGATTTCTTTGTAGTTGACACTGGTGTATGTTTTGCATCATAACAGAAGGTGCATTATGTCAGATTGTCCCACTGTTAGTAAGGCAAAGTTTTATTCTTGATTAAGGTGATAACTACCACCACATCAGTCCGTTTTTTTCCCTCCAGCTCTTAAATTTTATATTTCTTTGACTTTCAGTGTCTTTACCAGGACTATATTTTTATTACTACTTTCTTGGATTTCCTATATATATATTTATCCTATCCATAGTTGCCAAATAAGTCTTCTAATCATTTTCATTGTCTCCATGGATCAAATGCTCCCAGTTGTATAATAGCACCTAAAATCCTTACCCTGGTAGTCCCAAAGCATCTTTTATTTTGCCATCTCCCAGCAAGCCCCTTTCTGCCCCAACTAAATTAATTTTATTTTTATCTTCTACCTATGGTCTTGTCATTCCCACCCTTTCCTTCAATATCCTATTGCCTTAACCTGGGAATCCTTCTTGTGATTTCCACCCCTACCACCTCCAGCTTATTTTTATCACCCTTTATGATTTATCCCATGTCACTATAATCATTCTCTTACTCAGTGTTTTCTTAGAGATTACATATTCAATTTATATATATTGTTTTATGATTTTCACAGTTTTTTCCAGCTGCAAGTAATACTTTTTAAAATCATTTTACTTTTTTAAATTAATTTTTGTATTGACGTTTAGTCAGTTTACAGTAGCTTTTGAATACAGATATTATGTTGATTCAAAGTTACAGTCATTGAAAGAGTTGAAGAAAGTTTGTCATGTGATAAACTTATTTAAAGAATAACATTTTTCTTTTTATGCCCACAGCCATCATCTATTAGATGAGAATATGGGTCAGCATAATAATGATGATGAATGAAAATACTGTTCTTTATGAAGCTGAGGAAGCTACCCTGTGAAAGTGTCACCCAACAGTGTTGTTGAGTTTTCCCTTCCAATTTCAGGTAAGATAGGATTTTTATGTGGCCTTTATTTGTGGAATTGGGCAGTTTGTTCCAGATGGAGCTTTTATGGCTTGCTTGCAAATGCTGCTGTGCTTGCTAATCATTCTTTCACTGATAAACTGAATGGACTTTCCTGTGTATTTAACTCAGTTTTTCATTGCGACGTAGTGAGATAGAGCTGGATTTGGAGTCAGAGGGCCTGGGTTTAAGTACTGGCTCTCCTACTCACCTTATGTGTAACTTTGAACAACTCTTTTAACCCCTCTGAACTTTAATTCCCTTATCTGCAAACAAACAAACAAACAAACAAAAATCCTACTATGCCTACTTCATAGGGTTGTTGCAAAAGATAAAGTAGGTAATATGAGAAATTCCTTGTGACTTACAAAGCACCGTCCAAGCGTAATGGATTATTATTTGTGTTTTTCAACTTCTTAAGGAGATAAATAGCCTCTTTCAGGGAAAAAGCTCTATCTTCTGTCTCAAAATTCTGTAATGTTTTTCTGTTTTTTTTTTTAACTAGGAAAGAAAAATGTGATTGGGTTTTTAAAAATCAGTAATATTGGAAATGAAAAGAAACGCAGTTTGTCTTTGGATTTCTTTCTAGCCGTATATTTCAGTTATTTTCTCCATTATCTTCATTCCTTCTACATTTTGACTTCTTGTTCTTTTGAAAATGTTCAATAATACCTTCCTAATTTTTTTTATACTGACCCTAGCTTCAGGGATAGCTTTACCCAGTTGAGCAAACCTCTCCATTCTTATGTTCCTTTCACTTTTTAACATTTTTACTGTTCATCAAGTTCAGTCTGTCAGTCAATCATACAACCAATATTTATGGCATACCTGCTGTGTAGAAGTCATTTATTTCTGGACTTATTGTATGCTTGCTTGAGAATATGGCTCACTCAATCTTTGCTTGAAATGTCTTTAGGTCTTCTTATTGGCTAATATATAAGCAGTATTCTATTGATCCACTTCCTTACATTGGTGATATAATGCCCTGTTTTAGATTCACATTATTGTTATTTCTATTCTGTATTGTCAGTGTAACAACTTTATTTTTAGTTGTGTTCTCTAAATCATTACTTCATTGCTTGCCATTTTTTAATGCTTTACCATCATATTTTCAACAACTGTTTAGGCAACACGTATTTAATTGGTTTCAATGCTTTCTGCAAGTCTTTTTACGTTTTCTCAATCTTATTTTTTATTGATTCCTGCCATCTCAAAGATGCCCAGCTGCATAGCCTTATGAAACAGGGCTGTTAAAATGGGCGCCATGTAAAAGCATAGCCCCAAAGAGAGTTACACAATATTAAAATGCTCCCAATTTATTGCCATCGTTAAATTTTAAAAATCCCTTCTCACAATCAATTACTAACTATCCTGTTGCATAGGGTCAGTTTTGAGGGGTACATTTTCCCTGACTCACAGAAGAAGCCCCAGCCCCAAATCCTCACTAGCCAGTGGCAGTGGTCAAGACAAGCCTCAAGTGTCATGTTTGAGGCCCTAAAATACAATAGGTGACAGTTTAACCAGCAGGCTTAATCAGCAACTTTCCTGCTGCATTACAGGGAATGCCAACTTCCAGGTGGGGTCAAGAGGAAGCCCACTGACCATACCTCTCCTTGACTGAGCCAATCCCACACGTTAAGCTCTGTCATTTGCAACACCCCTTTTCCAAGTACCTATTTTCATACTAATCATGACTGTTGACTGCAATTCAGAACTCCCATCACTAGGTGGGAGAAGAAAAGAAAAAGAAAACAGAGTTGCCAGTTAATTATACCTCAGTCCCAATCCAGTGACTGGGAGTCTAATCTTGCTACTGAAGTCTTTGTTTCATCTCAGGTAAATCTTCTATCCTTACCCTCTGAATATGGTCAATGAAGGATGCAAAAGATATGGCCTCCTCTCCCTCCATCTTTTTTCTCCCTGTCTCTTGTGCTTTTGCCCTTCATGACATAAGTAGGGGTGGGGTAAGGAGAGAGAGCAGTCCACTTGGGTTACTGTCCACACCTTAAAAATAAGCAGGTGAATTACTTTCTGTTGGATATTTGGTTCTCTGTCAGACACTGGTGACATATAGAGTTGCTCATGTCTGCAGATCATGTCTCCACCTGGATGCAGTATGAAGCAGGCTCCCATCTGATCCATCTGTGCTCCCCTGATCCATTGCCAGGCCAGGGAGACCCCCAGAGGAGGAAGCTCTCCTCTCACTTCAACCTCCCTTCCGGAGAGTGCACCACATACCTTTTCAGGTGTGTAGTTTCTGGCTAGGTGGGTGGCTGTCCCAGGCAGTTTGATATCTCTCTTAACTCATCTCCAAATCATCGGCAACCAGTAGCATGGAAACCTCATGTTTCTCCTTCTTGTAGCCAGAGAATACCCCACAGGCCTTCTATTAGCTCTATAGTGAGTCTGCTCTCAGCAAATCCAGGCAAGAAATAGTAATCTTCAAACCCTCACTGATGGTCCTCCTGGGAGTTCCAGCTTTTTCCAGGGTGAGAGAGGGAGGCGGGTGGAACATCTTCACCTTTCCCACAATTCCCTCTATCGTTAGGAAAATGGTAAAATGGAGAAAGACCAAATATCAAACTATGATTTCTGGGTGGGGGAAGGTGTAGTCCAGTGGTAGAGTGCATGCCTACCAAGCATGAGGTCCTGGGTTCAATCCCCAGTAGCTACACTGAATAAACAAGTAAGCCTAATCTCACCCCCAAACCTCCCCCAAAACCCTGTGGTTTCTTCCCAATTCTCTTCTTCCCTCTCCCCATTTCTAGCTCTCTTTATTCAGATGATAAAGAAAGGAATGCTATAAAATAGATCCTGCTAGAAGATCACAGTATAGCAAATCATATGGTAAGGAGTCCTGCACTAATAGACTAGTGAACTTGAAGGCAAAAGAGGTGTCTTTTGTTCTTAGCAATGATTGTTATTAACGTACTTTACACTGTCATGTTGGATGAATACAGATGATTTATGTGACCCATCTAATTTCTTGTACATGACATTGAAGACCCTCCATAACCTGAGCACCATCTACTTCTGTGCTCCTCCCTCCACCTATCCCCTCTTTGAGTCGTGAGAAGCCTCTGTCCGCTCCTCACCCATCATGCTGTTTCCATGCTTTGGTGTCTTTTTTTCAATATGCTTTCCCTCTCCCTAAGCCCTCCCCCACCTTCTTTCCCTTTCTCTTTTCTCTCCATCACCATGACCATGTTGTTGTCCACTCTATCCTGATCTTCCAGGTAGAGCTGACCACTTTTTCCTTGTATCCTCTACACTGAATGAAAGCCAGATCTCCTTGAGAGCAGAAAGCAGGCCCCACTCACCTTTATATGCCTAGGACCAAGCACAATGCTTGGCTCAAAATAAATGTGGAATATATAGTGAATCGAATTGAGGTTTTGAAGGATATTTATCATATACATTTGTTCATTATGAGGACCCCTGTGTGTACTCTTCTATTTTTACTTGGAAGATTCATTTTGGGAGCAGGTCATTTAAAACAACTTACACCATGTCCTTTCTGTATGCCCTGATGGCATATCTTTCACGAGAATATTTTATAGGCAGTAATTATCCTGTCACTTGTATAACATAGATTCATATTACTGTATTGATTGAATAGCTTATTTATTGAACTGCTATTTTCCTCAAAGATTCTCTTTCTTTCAGGAAAGTACAGCTTTAAAAGATGAAGGGTCTAAAATACCTATATGTGAGAAAAGTAAAAAAAAAAAAAGAGTTGGCCTCTAAATTCCTGACACTGTACTTCCTGACTTTGATAGCATTGATTTAATAACTAACCCAAGATAGATCTTAAAATCAGCCCATCTGTAATTTCTTTAAAACAAATAGTTCATCCAACAAAGGCCTATGAAGTGAATGATAAGCAAGGATGGTCAATACTATTGTATTCATTCTGTGTTTTAAGTCCAAGAGAACAGCCCTGGGATATGTTCACTTCATCAAGAGGCTAAAAAGAGTTGTGTTATGACTGTTATGAGAGAGGCAGTTGCATAGTGGTTTGTGCTAGTATGTGCTGGGCAGTGTTCTCAGTATACTTCATTGTTCTATTTAGGTCTTACTACCCTATTATGTTAATCAGACTTCTCCAGAGAAATGGAACCAATGAGGTAAACATATATAAAGAGATTTATTATAAGGAATTGGCTCACATGGTTACTAAGGCTGGCGAGTCCTAGAGTGTGCTGGCTGGCTGGAGACCCGGGAGAGCTGATATTTCAGTTTGGGTGTGAAGGTAGGAAAAAAGCCAATGTCCCAGTTCAAAGGCAGTCAGGCAGGAGGAATTCTCTCTTACTTTGGTCAGCCTTTTTATTCTATTCAGGCCTTCAACTGGATGAAGCCCACCCACCTTAGGGAGGGCACTCTGCTCTACTCAGTCTACACATTCAAATGTTAATCCAAAAACACCCTCGCAGAAACACCCAGAATCAAGTTTGACCAAATATCTGAGCACCTTGTGGCTCAATCAAGTTGACACATAAAGCTAACCATCATACCTACATAGTAGGTTCTATGAGTATCCAGCTTTTTTAGATGAGGCAAAAGAGAGAGGTGATGTAACTTCTTTGTCTCACACAACTGGTAAATGTCAGAGACCCTGCTCCAGCCCAGGTCTGACTGACCCAAGTACAGTGTTTGACATGTTTTGAAATTTAGGTAGACCTAGGGTTTTTGTGTGAATTACATTTTAAAAAATGAGTGTAAAAGCACCTGTCACTGGCACACAGACTGTATGAAGCTAACATTATTAGCATTAGTAGTAGTACTAGCATTATTATTAAAAGGGTTTTTATTAGTTTCTTAACATGAGCTTTTATGCTTGTGGAATACTTGATAGTGAGAATGCCAGGTGGACTTTAAATGAAGACATATTTGACCAATATTATTCTCTATTCTTTTCTTTGGTTTTATGATATAAAGATAAAAAATTGCAAGTTGCTAGATAGTTAATTCCTCCAACATACCCTCTTAATAAAAATAATATTACCTTTGGCAGAGATATACCTTATTCCTGCTGATGTCATTAGAAAATGACAAGGTCAACCAAAATGAGAAATTGACAGTGTCTCTGTCTTTCCAGGTTTTAATAAGTATTGTCAAAAGAAATAATAATCAGATTGGAACTTGTTGTCCTTGAAGTGACTTTTTAAAAAGGCCTCCCAGCAAATCTCATGCAAGATCAAAAGCAGTTGGGAAAAAGTATAAATCACTCAAGTATGCTTCCCTACTCTAGTCTATTTGATAGAAATAAAATTATTATTCACTTTAATGACTCAGGCACTGGTATATTTGTCTCCTTTTCTAGGGTGTGGGGGAATGTTGGTAAAGGGAGTTCTAATGAATTAACAAACTAGATTTTCCAATGTATAAATAAAATGTAGCCTTCTGGGGAATAAATGAGTTTTAAAGACTTTGTCCCACAGACCCCAGCCTCACTTCTAGACCAAGACTCAAGGCAAAATTGTGAATTCTTCTTCTTCCTCTGCTGTTGTGTTTCCTATCTTCCATCCAAAAATCCTCATTTTCTTCCATCGCCACATTTTGTGTTCTCAGCAGAGGATGTGACAAATGCATAGCCATTAAGATACAGTGACATAAGAGTTGTTGTGCTGTTTTTACCTATCCTCTTTATAAACAAGCTTTATAATCTGAAAAGGTTTAATTTTGGGCATCAGTGGGATTGAGGAAGCATTTACTATAATTAGAAGGACTTTTCTGGAGTTGGTGAAATCACAACATGTGAAAAACAGGCTCTCTCTGCATTCTTAGACATTAAAGGCAGCCTTGCTTCTCCCTCATTTTCTAGCTAATACAGGCTCTAATTCTGGCCACACTAATCACAGTGCTAATCACCCTTACCTGATTCATATTAGTGCATTCTTCGTCCTGTCTGTTGTCGTGTATCAATGCTATTGTCTCCATTCAGAATGCCTCTACTCCCCTCTCAGGAAATCCATGCCCCTTACTTCAAATGAGCCTAGCGTAATCAAAATTCTCCTCCATTCAAGGTATAGCGTTAGGATTAGGCATTGTCCTAGTCAAGAGCTGTGTACTGGTCTGAAGGATAAAATATATCAAGACACAGAGGAAACTTTCAAAAAGATGGCATTCATGATGGAAAAGAGAATAGACTTGGAGGAAAGATCTGTGAAAAATCTAACGTGGGAATTACAGAAATTCCAACTAAAAGAAAAGAAACAGAGGGACGAGAGAGCTGAAGAAAGACCTGACTTTAATTTGAAAGTGTTCCAGGAAAGACTGAAGCGAAAAAACTTATCTAAGCACATCCTGGTATAATTCCTGAATTGCACGATAAAGAGAAACCTCACAATTTCAGGCAGAAAGACAAAGGTGATTACAAAGGCAAATCAGTCTGACTGGCTTTGAACTTCTGCATTATTTGAAGTGGTAAATGACTTAGAGAAAAGGAATAAAAATGTAAGGATCTAAGCATAGTCAAGATACAATTCAAGGGTCAGGCTAAAGTAGAGATATTTGAGGCTATGCCCCATGTAAAGAAAATATATGACAATGGACACAAGCAAGCAAAGGAACTGGAACAGAGGCTTAATATAAGGGAAGGTGAAGAAGAGAGAAAAGTATTCAGAAATAAGGAAGGAGACTTAACTGGAAACAACTGGAGACAAAAAAAAAGCGACTAGATACAGTAGAGAGACCACTATGTGCACTTTTTTGTGATACATTTGAAAATCTAGGAAAGAGATGTTTTCCTAGTTAAATACAAATGATCAAAGTTGGCATAAGAAGTAGAAACTTGAATAGACAAATGCCTACAGCATACATTGGAAATATAACTAAAGATCAACTGTTAAAAAAGGACAGCAGAATCAGTAAGTTTCTCAGCAGGATTTTTGTCTAACTTTTAAAGAACAGATAATTCCAGTGGTTTTAAACTATTCCAGTTATAGAGGAAGATAGAAAGGGCCCAAATTTATTTTATAAACCCAATTCCTTTCATGTGTCTGGCATAACTTTAATACCCAAAGCTGAGAGAAAACAGTAAAAGAAGAAAATCATAGCAAATTCCAGTTATGAATTTAGAGGTTGCTGATGTGAGGATCAGGAAGAGAAGGATAAGGAACTCTGAGAGTGTCAAATCCTGTAACTAAGAGTATCTTCTTTCTGTTCTTTATCAGACAGAACTAGATTTGATGACAGTATATGACAGAAGAGTCAAAATAACAGTGACTTAAACATGACAGAATTTTAATTTTTCCTTGTATAAAAGAAGTCAACAAGAAGATTGTCCAAAGATGAATGATGATTCCTTTGCGTCATCAGGGACCCGAGCTATTTCCATCTCTCTTCTCTGTCACCCCTATGGTGTAGGCTAAGGTAGCTGCTGGAGCTCCAGCACTCACATCTGCCTCTAGCAGCAGGATAAAGAGATAAATGAAGAAGGTGCAAAAGGCACATGCCAACTGTACTTTAATGTGGGTTTTCTGAAACTACCAGACAGCACAGTTTTTGTACCTCCCAGGTGTAAATTTAGCCGCAGTTTGGCCATGTGCCCAATTAAAAATCAAAGGTTCTATAACATAGGAAGAAGGAGAGAACAGATCTTGAGGTAAAAACCTAGCTACCTCTGTGCTATATTTCTTTGGTCAAGAACAACTCTTGGTCTGTAGGAAAGCA